AAAGGCCTTGTGAAGATCACAAAAAACACCGCCCACAATTTCTTTTTTATTTAAAGCAGTTCGGATATTATTAATAAGATAGTAAGCTGCATCGTCTGTTGATCGTGCATGTCTAAATCCAAACTGTTCATTAGCAAGAATATTATTTTTCTTGATATATTGTTTCATTCTATTATAGATTACCTTTTCAAAGATCTTAGAAACTAGATCTTAGACAACTATAAAAGTCACTTCTTTTAAAAAGCTCTGTCATCATAAATATCACCAAGTCTTTACATAAGGCCACTCCAGTATCATCCCCACCACTAAAGTAAATTCATTTACCATGTTAATACATAAGAAACAATTCATCTTTTTGAAATTTATTATGAACACATACATGTGTAGACATCATGATACTATAAACATATCTATTCTAACAAAATATGAAAAGTCTGATAAAAACAGAATTTAAGCTCTAATAAATAACTTCTTTATTAAAAAGTTACATCTGAATACTAAATTTTGCCTTATAGAGGTTTTATTTGATATAGGCTTGCCTGCCACCCAAGTTGAATTAACTGTTTTTTCTTACTCATTTCTCTGGAAGGCCAGCAGAATGTGACAATCCAATTCTCTGAGGACAAATAATGTTAATCATTTAACAGAAAAAATTTCCCATCATTATCTTCAAACACTCACCATAACAAGCCACTGTCCATCTTTCCTAATATCAAGAAATCTGTAAACAAGCATAAAACAAAATTCAAAATACACACAGGAAACAAAAAAAAAAACACTTTCTAAATCATCAATTCAGTCATCATACAGAGCAAGTTGGTACAGTGGTAACACTCTAACTTGCATTCAAAGGAAACCCAATTTGAATATCAGTTGGGTTACTGACTACCACGACAGGTTTCATTGCTTTTGTTTGTTCCTCCAAGAGAATGCTAGAATACCTTCAAATAAGCCCACAAAACATCATTCTGAATACTTATGTACTAACATAAATTATAAAAATTATAGGAGGTGGCCTTGGCATTTTAAGGTTCTATACCTGCAACTAACTGGAAGAGTTGACATTAAATGTAAGAAAGTATCAGGATCACCCACCTCTGACCAAGAACTGAATCTTGGACTCCTGTACAGGAAATCTGAAAGCTAATGATTACACATTGTAGGGACCATATTTCATAAGAACTAAATCAATTTACTAGCAGCAAGAGTGTCAAAATACATACCTGTCACTTAACTCCAGGACACGGGTTGTACTTGCCATTGACACAACACCTGAAATATATATTGTTGTTAAATGGAACCACAGAGCAGTCTCAGTGTTCAGTCATTTAGGTCTTTTGTGTTTGTACAAAATTTCAATACTATTATATTATTCGCTGAGTCTGTAGCAGAGCAAGTAGTAAATACTGACTCAGGTACTTGATAAACCATAAAAGTGTTTGGCCAAGCTTGTTTGTCCTCTGCCCTTCCAAAGAAGTGTTTGTTTACTTAAATTTATACTGCCATGCAAACTTTGTAATATCAGATGATCCAGGCAGTTAGTAAAATGACTGGATGACGGAGGTTTCATTCCTGGCAGGAGCAGCAATTCCTCCCCCACCACCACCACCAAGCCCACACCAGATCTGAGGGTCACCCAGCTTCCAATGCAAGGTTCTTTCATTGGGGGGGGGGGGGAGAACTAGACACAATGCTCACCTTCACCTTCATCTAGTCCCATAGTGTAAAAGGAAAGCAGCTTTATCCCCACACTCCATACACGCATTCATGGCTTGGTGCTTTAACAGCATAACTTTGCTTTTATCTTATTGTTGTCTGACACAATATACATTAATATCATTTGCAGATAATCTTAAATGGTGGTTACAAAACTTGGGATGTCATATTAATCACTGACATACTATGTGAGCTTGTGTACAGAGTAGTTACACAAAGTTTATTTATAATTTTTGGATAAGTAAGCTATTTTGATTTCAAACCCATTACATTTCACTTTCATCACAATAGCTAAAGTCACACAAATGGGCAAGCATCTCACAGCTACCAAAGTATGCCAATAAGCCAACATTTCCTATACAATATCACTATTTCACTGTGTGTGTGTGTGTGTGTGGGGGGGGGGGATACAGCCCTAAGGAATTTATATTACTCAATGACCAAAATCACAACAGATTTTGAAGGAAGAACTACTGCTTATGACAATCATACCCAGCCATTCAATGTGGCATATAGGGCTGATTAATAACCTAATAATACAACTGCCAACATGTTTAAATCGTTAAAATTACGGCTAAAACTAAGAACTGGTTTCTCACGTAGCATGAAGTAACAGCCTGTTCCGTTCCCTTACATATTACTTTCCTTGTTAATAATTTAAAGTGTATGCGCTAACAAATAGCCAAGTGTCCTTATGCAGTAACTGCGAATAAGTTCGAGAGCATGTGAGTAAGGTTATGTCACATTTGGCATGTAAACAACGCAAAATCTACCTACGAATACGTACTACCCAAAATCATCAGCATTACTGTCCTCTTCAACGTCATCGTTCTTGCTTCCAGTTTTCATTAAAAAATCATTCGCAACATTTAGCAAGAACTATTGAATGTACTGACTACGTGTTCTACCACTTTCTAGCACTTCTAGCATATTTACTACGTTTACCACCACATTATAACTCGATTAAAAATTGACTGTAGTTAGTCGCCGTAACATTCACTGCCATCTACTAGCAATCCTATAAGCAACAATACAATTGTGCACAATCAGTGCAAAAATGGCACAACATTTATATCTACAAAGGCGCCATCTACGCATCTCAAATTGTACATAGCACACGATACGATGGACTCCCGTGTTCAGTGCTTCAAGATGGATTGATTGGCGCAAAAGTGTTATGCAAGAACCTTAGAAAACATAAAAGTTATAAAACATTATCTCAGTAACCCATAATGCTGATCACAGCATGACACTCTATAAATTTCTCAAACAATGGGTCACAGAGTTCTCAAGAATTACTTAAAATGTAGTTTTATCCATGCACAGTTTTGGTCAGTTGTTCAGTCTATAAGATTTAATACTCTTCCTTGTAGAAAGTTTAGCTGCAGCTGCAAATTTAAAGGCAACTTTACCTCTGTACTCAATCAGTTATGCATTATGCCATGAGACATTTGGGGGAGAAGGTGTATACGTCCACACAATATTGATATTGGCACTGGAAAGAGATTAGTGGTCAGTTTCACGGCCTTTGTTCCAGACCTCAATGGCAAAACATTTCACAAATTCTTTTATGACTGTACAGGAACACTCTACAGCATACCTTATGTTTCTGCTGTCATCATAAAGACAGAAGAACCTGCAAACATGTGAATAACGCTTTCAACTGACAGAGTTGGAGGGGTTATGTAAAGGTATCATTTTAGGGGGGTTGGGGTCTCAGTATCGCATAGTTTGAGAACCCCCGGTATACAGAATGAGAATGGCACACATTGACGTCCTATATTCCAGATAAAAAATATCTGTAAAAACTTCATTGGAAGCAAAAAATCTGTAAAGTAAATGGACAAAAGCATGCAGAAGAATTCATCAGATATTAATAATTGCATATGTAAGACTTAAATAGTACAATTTTGAAGTGAAGCACACAGTAGCATATTTGGTTGAGGCACTATGCTACAAGCCAGAAGGTCGCAGGTCTGATTTCTGATATGCTCATTGAATTCTTTCAGTCTACACTATGACCCTTGGGTTGACTCAACCTCTAACAGAAATGAGTACCGGGAATCTTCCTAGGGGTAAAGGGCAGCCAGTGCATATGGCTGAAAACCTTACTGCCATCACTGAGCTGATTGCCTAGAAAATGTAGGAGCCTCGACATCTCACAACCCTATGGGCCTTCATGGCCTATTACAGGGATATACAGGGTGATTCAGAAAGATGGACACAATTTCAATTGGCTATATTTCCTGAATTATATGTTGAATTTGAATTCTGTAAATTACATTTGATTATACATACATGGAAGTTTATAGATGTTCAATGTGCCCCCCTCCGGCTGCACGCATAATATCTAGATGGTAGCTGAATTCATCCCACACTCAATGACAAATATCTTATCACTGAGTTCACTGCAGCTGTGATACAGTTTCTTAGGTCATTCAAATTTGTGGGAAGAGGTGGTACATAAACTGCATCTTTCACGAACCCCCCACAGGAAAAAGTCGCAGGGTGTGAGATCAGGAGACCTCGGTGGCCAGAACTGACGTGCCAGGTCTTCATTCCCCATGTGACCTATCCATCGTTGAGGTAGAGATTCATTCAGGAAACGTCGAAAATTCAGGTGCCAATGGGATGGAGCTCCGTCCAGCTGGAAAATGTAATCTCCTGAATCTTCATTCATTTGAGGAACAAGCCAGTTTTGCAGCATTCTAAGATATGTTACTCCAGTAACCGTGTTTTCATCAAAAAAGAAAGGTCCATAAACCTTTGTCAACGATATTGCACAGAGCACATTAACTTTCGGGCTGTCCCTCACATGTTCGAGTGTTACACGGGGATTTTGTAGCCCCCATATGCGTACATTGTGCCTGTTGACTTTCCCACTTAGGTGAAACGTAGATTCATCGCTAAAAATGACACAAGGCAGAAACAATTCATCTTCCATATTTTTGAGCATACGGTCACAAAATTCTACACGCTTTACCTTATCGTTTGCGCGAAGAGCCTGTACCAGTTGTAGGTGGTATGGCTTGTACACTAACCGGCGCCTCAATACACCCCAGACAGTTGTTTGTGATAGTCCAAGTTCTCTACTAGCACTACAGGTTGACTTCATTGGGCTACGCTCAAAGCTCACTCGAATGCATGCCACGTTCTCCTCCGATGCACACGATCGGCCCGGGCTTATACCCTTACACAGAGAGCCAGTTTCATCAAATTGTTTATTCCAATGTAAATGATCTTCCTTGTTGGAGGCTGGATGTAAAACTTACCACAAAATGCATGCTGCACCGCAGTCGCAGACTCACTTTTACTGAACTCATGAATGCAAAAAATCTTGTGTTGCATAGTAGCCATCTCACTTACAACTGACGCGGTGCTGGAGTGCTCTAGTGGTAATATTAGCAACTTTACAACATCCTCTTTCAAATGTACTTTACAGAATTCAAATGCAACATATAGTTCAGGAAATATAGCCAATTGAAATTGTGTCAATCTTTCTGAATCACGCTGTATTTACTTCTTTTTAACTTACACTTTTTAATGTGCCAGCTAATTAATCCAGTGTTGTATAAAGAGAATACAAATAAATACAGCAAAGATGTTGATCTCAGAAAAAGTGAAATAAAACTTTTAAGTATGAATAGCATTATATTGTAGCATCCTGTTGCACCTCATTTATTATTCAACAAATGTCACTAGTTAACCCTGTTACGTGTAATGTGTCCTCCTAAAACTTATTTAAAAGTATCTTTCATATGCACAATGCATCTTTTAAACCCTATTCAAAAGCTTCTGCACATTGCACTACATGTTTCGACCTACAATGGTCATCATCAGATGTTTAAAAATTGTTGGTGGAAACTGCTGTACTTCTATTTTGTGATTCTAATATTTGATGTGTAGTCCCATTTACAAACACACATATATTTTATGGTGCTGGGTCTCTTTTCCTGTTGTGTTGTGTGTAATCTAGATTACAAATAATCTACTTCATTCTTTTTAGGCTATATTCTTTCAAATATGCAGATATTAAACCATCAAGGCTCTGTTACCAGAAGACAATACAATGGACTAAACATGACTGAATTATGAAGGGTCCTGGTTGTAAAAACACCCTGTAGTATTACAGTGAAGACGATGAGCAAAGTTTCATTAGTGGTAGGTTAATTAATACTGCCATGCTCACTTTCAATTTTGTCTGGCTCAGGATAGGGACCAGTGGAGGGCTCTTGTGAACATGGTAATGAACCTTCGGGTTCCATAAAATGCTGGGAAATTCTTGAGTAGCTGCAGAATTGGTGGCTCCTCAAAAAGGGCTCAGTGCCATGCCTAAGTAAGTACTTTAATTTTGAGTAAAGTTTTGATGAAGATATTCCAAAATACATCCTGTCATTGCTAATGACTTCAGTTACGGGCTCTTTGACCTTCCTAGCATCTACCTGCCACGATAATGGAATAGGTATTCCCCTCTGTGCTGACAGCATCTATGGGTCAGACTCCTTTGCTGACAGCAGTAAGATGATGGCTGGCAGAGGAGGCTTATAGCTGATTCAGCAAAAGTATTTCTCACATTTCTAGAATTTCAACTTTGTCAGGGATGAGGGTAATCACGGGTATGCAGAAATGTCCATATTTTATTCAACAGGTCTTGAATAAGACCATCAGGTGTATGTTACAAAATACAAAATGAGCTTGAATCATATAACATGTTAAAAAATGGAAGGCACTGAGTTTATTCTGGGTATGCACTCTCCTTCAATTCATAAAAATAGTTGGTTGCAACATGTGGGAGTTAATGAATTTGATGACTACAGTATTCCACTTCACATACAAATACTTGCATATATGCACAGTGCATGGAGGAAAGTACTGCAAATCATGCTTCTTTATTTTACACTCAAAACTGTTTCTCTCTTCGTTTTCCCACGAAAAAAGTGACCTAAATTCTCTGTCTTACTTGAACTACTGTCACTCAACTTTGGGGCAAAACTCCTATCAGAACTTTCAGAAATCTGCTGGCTGCTTTTAGAAGGTGTTTTTGATAAAACCTGATCCATCTTTTCTATGATACTTGCCAGTCTTACTTTGCTAGACTTATCATCTTCTTCTATAAATGCTGAAGGACTATTCGTACTATTTGGTGATAAACTGAACCCATTTCTGTCTGCAGCAAGAGAAGGCGAACCTTGCAAAACCTCCATCTCACTATCACTCAAAGGCATCGGTTTTCTCTTCTTTTCCTTTAATGATGAATGACCAAAATGCATCGGAGTTGAACTTTTCAGATGGGATTCAGTGAAGACTCCTACTGTTGACTTCAATGTTGTATTTTGCATGGCCAACATTTGAAGTCCTATATCTTTACCAGAATCCAATTTTTCATAATCACAAACCATAACATACGAACTGTTGCCATGTGAAGCAAAAGCTACCATATGTTCGAATGGATGGTAATCTACACCACTTGCTCCCCGGTAAAACTGCAGTCCTGAGTATATAGCAAGTTGTTCCCCTGTATCAGCATTCCACACATGTACAGTACTATCTTCACTGCCCACAAACACCAGGCCTCCACATGGCGAAAGGCAGGCTGAAGTTTGAACCCTGCAAGAGATTAGAAAGAAAGTTTATACACAGGAGACTATGTTTCATCTTTAAACCTAATGAACAGATATGAATGAAAACTGGTATTGCAGTCTGCACTAAAGTTGCTGGCACATTAACTGGGTTTTACTGGCAAAATATAACCCCTACTTCACATGAAACTCGAATCAAAATAAGAATTTTCTTATAACCTCTGAAGTTAGGCATTTGCATTTTACTATTACCCTCCCATCTACATCAAGGTCTACCAAATGGCCTCTTTTCATCAGATTTTCAAACTGACATCTTGTACGTATTCCTTTCATGTGTGCTACACGTCTTGTCAATGCCACTCTTCTTCACATAATCACACACACAATGTCAGGTATATAATAACAAACTGTGAAGTTCTCACTTATTCATGGCCATTTTTATCTATTAATCTGGTAACCACAAGGCTTCCTTATCCACATGAAATAAACTGCTGAGATACAAAACTTTATCCTATACCTGTGATTAAGAGCACCACTGAACCACTGAATCACACTTGCAGTGGTAATGTCCAACATCCGGAGTCGACTGTCTCGTGCGTGGACTAACAGTCGCTGACCACCAGGATGAATCAGAAGTCTGTTCACAACAGTATCTCTCAGTTCACGAATGTCCATGTTCCTAGAATGTAAAGAGACAATCACAGTTGGCATTACGCTGCCATGTGTATATCACTTCTTGAAAGTACCCTCAAGAAAGGGTATGGACATGAGAGGAGAATAATAAAATGGATTTTATGGACATATGTTGTGACAATTGGAGACAGGATGAACTGATTCAGGAACATGCTGTATGGGAGGCTTTGATTACCTGCAACGTTGAACCTTTAGGTTTCCACTTGGACTGTACTATGACTGAATCTGGTATCAAGTCTCATCTATGGCATGGTCAACCTAACTAATTCTCTGATAGAAGCCTCCAAAGCATCACTATCACTAATACCAAAGCCTGCCACTGAGAACAATATCCCATCCTCACAAGCAACATTTCAAAGTTTCATTTTAACACTATCCTCCGATTGACTTGATTTGCTATGTGAGCTTTATTAGAGAAGTTTCTCCAACAAAATTATGCAAATTTTTTCTCTCTACAGTTCTACATGTCCAGCTCACTGTAATACTTGACAGGAGTGCCCAAAAAGCTGTATACACCACAAAATTACATAATTCCTCATTTACGTACAGCAACATTCTTCCTGAAGCAATACAACTATACAAGACTATGGCTGACCCTAACTTTGGAGTGTCTCAGGTCCAGCTAGGTTCAAATTTCAAAACACTCTATAATCAGAGGCCATGTTTAAGCACCTGCTGAATTTCCACTGGTAACACTGCTTCTTGGACTTTACTTTTGATCCTGTCCACTCAAGGATCCTCCCCAGACTATCGCCTGAATACATCATGCCACTGCAACTTATGGACAGGGCACTCACAAAACCCGTGTGGCCTTCCAATTCCTGGACAAGCTGCAAATAAAGACATACAGTTCACAGGTATTAATTTTCATATTTAAGGGAGACTTGGTGATGTGTGTCAGATGAAGGTCTTCCATACAAAACAGCTCCTTTTCTTAAATAATCAGAACTCTATTCAAATTCAACAGTATGCCATAGGTTCTGTTCTGTCAGCAACCAAATTCATCTTCACTATCTTCCTACTGAAGGGATTTAATTGAAACCCTGCCTGGTTTGTGTTCCAATAAGAATTAGACTCTTAGTGGGTAATGAAAATATTAGGTATCATGGCAACCTTACATCCAGAATTATTGAGTCATGAGTATAACAACAATCAATGGCATCAATATTTGTTTTTTCAGGTCCCTAAAATCTGATGAATTACATCAAACAGTAATAGTTTCCATCCTCAATGGCTACCAGTACTGGGATACTTACTGCAGTACAAGTAGTAGCTGTAGAAACAAGACATGGCTTGTATGCTTACTATCTCACCTCAAACTGTGAAGATTTATGGAGACAGTTCCACACACGCACCACATGATCATAGCAACCAGTGACCAAAACAGAGCTATTGCCAGGATGGAACTGGGCACAATATACAAATGATGGGTGAGGCAGCATCTGGAATAAATCAGACAACAAACTGGTATTGCGTCCTAGACTAAAAGTGCTGAGGAAAGGTCTTGTTAGATGCACTTCATTCCAAAAAACATTTTAATGAAGATGTTCCAAAATATATAAGCTCACTCAGCTACTAAGGATATAATGGTGTGTATTACACATTAACAACAGATCTGCTTTGAGGTCTCCAAAAATGAAGACAAGGAACAAATGACTACCGGAGAGACTAGGGACAAGGTTGATACACCAAGATATTTAAAACAACATAGAGGAACAGTGAATACAGATACAACACAAGTGGTTACTGAATGAGAAAGAATAAAAAGGCTTTGTAAAAAATAAATGTACCCAGTGGAGAAGTCATTGGATGACATTTTAACACTTTACACTGAAAATTATATAAAATTCATCATTACAATTTGCAGTAAAGTACGAAGGACAAGTTGTCCTGAAATATGTAACTTCCTATCAAATGAACATAAAAGATAGAGAAAGACTGCTTAGTTACCACTAACAACAATCTGAAAATTATGGATGGGATGGTTTAATTGTTGGATATGTAAGAGGAAACATTAGGTACTATGGTTATTCAGGGTATGCAGAAAGAAGAAAATTCAAGTTCAGAATGAAACCTGAATGCACCTTAAATCAGGTTCTTGCCAGTGTTATTGTGTTATTCACGACAAAAGCTGGTGACAACACTTGACTGGATTAAGCGCAGCAATTAAAAGTGATCCCTTTTTTTTTATTGCTAGTGGGGTGGGACTAAGTCCCTTGTACTGCAGCCACTTCTGGTCTATTGTACCAGTCCCAGATGATAGGTGAGGGTGATTGTGGAGCAATTGGTGGAATGAAGATTGGCAGGGGAAACTGAAGTACTTGGAGAAAACCTGCCCCAGGGCCACTTTGTCCACCACAAATCCCACTTGACCAGACCCAGGATCGAACCTGGACCGCCATGGTAGGAAGCCAGCAACTAACCTCTTGAGCTATGGCGCAGCCAAAGTGATCCTTAGTATGACTCCTTTCCAATTTTATCTTTATGTTGGCATATGTGTAGTCCCCCAACATCCACAGACCATGAGCAAAAGTATGTTCCTTCTTTTACAGATACCACCATATGTAGAGCAGTAACTTGTAAAATAAATTTTGCCACTGCCATGATGAACTATAGGAAAACATGTAAAATATGGCATAGTAACAATGCATAAAATTTTCTACAGGCAAAGAATTAAGTATTACGAAGAATTTCAATAATACAGCAGCATACATAATTATATACTTTTATTCTAGTTAAGTTCTAATTTCTTTTGTAACGGAGGTACAGGTCATAGACAAAAACCTGAAAACGTAGCATAGCTTTGAAAAGCAGCACTGTTTAATAAATAAGTTTACAGCTGTTCTATTCCACAGCTCTGTAAAGTGATTTTCATTATAATAAACATTCAGTTTAACTAAATTCACAGTACAAAGTCTTCCTTGAACAAATGACTTATTCAGCTGATGAAGAAATTCTCTGTTCTGATGGAACTGAAAGTAGACTGCATAACCACCAAGGCCCATTCTGTTCTGCTGTGTGCATATTTTCACAACCTATTTCCATAAGTTAATAGTTCATTTTACTATGGCAAGTTGCTGCAGCACATTACAAATTAAGAAGTCCTCCCTTTCACATTCACATTGCAACTGCTTGTATGTTGACAATCACAGAATACAGTGAAAAACCTGTCAGTTAAAATTTAAATATCTTGTACCGCTAGTCTGCAATACAATTAAGTAAATATAAAATACAATAATCCTAGCTTTATATCACAATATCACTGAAACAAATTACCACTATCTACTGGTCAGTACTCCAAATTAGGAAATTAAAATGCAGCTAAAATACATCAGCAGCTGCTGCTGTAATTACACCTCTCTACAATAACACAAAAGAAGAGCAAGAAATATTTTAAATTGGCCAGCACCCAGCTGCACCATAATTTGAGAGAAACATCAAACCCACATGCACAGATCTATGTCATAGCCATGAAGGGATTAAACATTCAAATCTGTGAGCAAAAATTTAATGTTAAAATATATAGAATATATAGAAACTCTCTATATAAGCTCACCTGCATGGGGCCTGACTTCCTAGCGTCGGTATCCCAGAGGCAAGCAGTGCAGTCTGCAGAAGCAGATAGCAGCACTGTATCTTTAGCTGACCAGTGTAAGTCATAAACAAGGCCCTGGTGACCCACAAACTGGGCAAACTCCTTCCCATCTGGAATCTATGGAATGCATTTCTGTTCTATTCAGCAGTTAATGCTTGATGCACAATACATGCAGACAGATTATGTTATATATCATTACCAGGAGAAAATCATATCATGTTATATGTGGTGATGTGAATATAAATTATCTAGAAAATTGCGATAGAAGGAAACAACTTGATGCGCTCTTAAATACTTACAATCTAATAGGCACGGTTAATTTTCCAACACGAATTGTTAAGGTATCAAAAACTGCTATTGACAACATATTGTCGCGCATTGGGCGTATAA